ATATATATATATGTATATGTATAAAATTAGTATGAATTGTCTTTAACTCTATTCAGAATTAATTTTAACAATAATAATGGATTTGGACCATTTTGAACATTCCCTACTTTAAAATTCACATGGCTTCCTTTGAAAAAAGGATATAAAGGTAAATTGGTGAAAGGTTTGCTCTCTGCATTTTTTGACTTTCTGAGTTGTGACTGAATGAGAGAGCTTTAGCATTTACCAGTGAGGTTCATAAACTAAACTCTCAGGAATTACTTGCATCTGTTCTAGAAGTGCTTCTGGGTCTTAGCCTGGCCTCTTCAGAGTGGTAATATTGACCATCTCCTCTGGAATATAGGTAGGGCTAATTAGAAATTAATCAAAATGATTAACCTCTACAGTCCTTCAGCCTATGGAATGCTTTAAAAAATGTTAATGGAAAGCCCCAGGAGACCATTTTAGGTAAGATTTTTTTTGTTTGAATTTTAAAATGCATAAAACATTAAAAACCAGCAATTTATTTTCTAAAATATTGCTCTACTTTTGGGAATAATAGCATTGGTAATATGCACAGGTTTACCTCATTCTATGCAAGAGGGGTTAATATCATAAGGTTTTATAGTTGCTACTGGAAGTAAAATTTGTTACTTTATAGTGTAAGAATGTATGGAATCGCATGTCAACATTTCTTAGTACTGACTCTTTAGGGGCATAAATGCAGACCATATCAATGCCAAGTTGATTCTCATGTGTCAGATACATGTGAATTCAGCTGTTAAATTACTGGATATTTATCTTAAACAACATTACTGAGAGGGACCTACTGTAAATGTGACATCCTCCCACTTCCCAAATCTTTAACTTTTAAGAATCTTCCTATAAACTTAAAGCCTGGAAGACTTCCAAAAAGCAAGGGTTACAACAATCTTTATTCTCAGGCTTAGTGAATTAAACCCAGGACTCCGATTCCATGATATGGGCACCAGAAGCCAGTTGTATCGTGTGCTCTAACAGTACCCTGGGCTTAGGGGCTCTATAGGGACCTGAATAAACCAGGAGGGATTTGATTTGGAGCCTGGTCATTAGTTCTGTGAAATGCTCATTTGTAGCCAGGTTTTATAAGCTTCCAGTTCTACAGCAAAGCCAGGCTCTGAGTGTTTTCAGATTTCCCACCTATTTATGAAGTGTTTCGTGTCTTAATCCCATGACCAACGTTAATTGTTGGTAAGGACTTCCTACCGAATAAACACAATCTGAAGCCCTCTTCATTGTTCAGACTCTAACTCCCTGCTGCCGATGAACAGAAAATGAGTTGATGCAGAGGAGATTTATGTCTTAGCCACAACTCCAAGTGTACAACTCAGTAGCCCCATTCTATTCTACGGTTCAAATGTACTGCTGACCTTGGGTTTGTTTTGTTTTTTTCCTGTTAGGATTATTTGGGGATTTTTGGTAGTTTAAACTCTTTAACCTTTTCCTTGCTGTGTATGAGGAAAGCTAAAGCTGTTATCAACTTCTTATTCTACGGATACTAACACGGGTTTTCAGTGTTTGTTTGTTTTTATTATTATTAATTTTGTGTGATGTGAATACCCTCTCCCGTCAATATTTGTATTATGGTGCTATATATTTGGTAATGATCCTTTACTATTGGGAAGGGATTTTAAAAATACTGTGATTAAACTGGGTTTCTTCCTTTGATTTTCATATTTTAAATAAAGCCACAGTCATTTATACAAAAGAAAAGTATCTGTCCCTGGGCAAATCTTTTGAGGACAGAGGTCAAAGTAAACTGCATAAGGTTTTTACATCATTTCTGTATGTATTTGATAAATAGATCAATATCTGTACAAATTTAATCTTTTATTTTCTTGGTAACTTGTGATCATTGAGAAAGTGTTTGAAACTTTCTCGTAAAGTGTATATAATGGCGTGAAAAATTCCTTTGGAGAAATTTATGTTCCTTTCATTTTTACCAAATTGCAAATTTTCAGCATGGATGTGAAAAGCATTAAAATTATAACTTTGTGTACAAGATGAAAATAATTCACTAAATTTGCCCTTTTTTACACAAAATAAAACGTTAAAGTTAAGTTGTATATGAGCAATTCTTTAATATGCTTTGATATTTGAGGGATTTCCTTTTTTATTCAAAATATTGAGTGCCGCCTTTTATTTATTTATTTGTTTGTTTTTTTGGCCGCGCCACACAGCATTTAGGATCCTAGTTCCCCAACCAGGGATTGAACCTGCACCCCCTGCAGTGGAAGCACGGAGTCTTAACCATTGGACGGCCAGGGAAGCCCCTTGAGTGCCTTCTATAAGCAGTCGAAGGCACCTGGGAAAGTCAGGTCAGTTCCTCCCTCACAGAACCTGTACTCTCATAAGGTAAGCCAGCACAAGTGAGGAAGAATTTACCACTGGCTGACGAGAGGAAGAGGATATGGGTGGATATATGGCCATAGCTGCATGTGAGCCAGGATCTCACTTGGAGGGAATAGGCAAAAAACACGGGAGGGGTGAGTGTGGACCCCTTGTGGGGAAATTAAATCACTTTAGTCAGAACATGGTGTTTCAGGGTTGGCATGATTGCTAGGAGACTTTTTTTTTTTTTCCAGCTCCATTAACCTCAGCAACAAGGTTCATAGGATGTAAATGAATTATCCCAGCTTGCTCTTGCTGTTTACATTAAGAGGGAACGCAGACACCCTCCTTTATCAACAGCTGATTCTGTGGGAAGTTATCCAACTTTTACTGCAGAAGCAGTTTGTAGAGAATTTTATGGATGTTAGATAGTAATGAGATGGATTGGGTATCTTTAGTAGTTAATTTCATCACTTTAGAAAAATATAACACACTCCAAGAAAGACAGAACCTAATTTCTGCCCTGCTTCCTACCTAAAATGGCTTGAAAACAGTTGCCCTAGTAAACTGGAATTCCCAGGTTGGCCTCAATTACTACCCCGAGCTCTGACATATACATTCTTCTTTAAACCCTTACGCGCCTCTTGGGAAACTAGTTTCCTAAAGTGCTTTATGCCCATGTTTTAAGAGGAACAAATGTTTCCCCAAAACAAGTAACTTTAGCACTGTGCTGTTTATCCAGCCTTGTGAGACGGGGAGAACAGCAACTATTTCCTTTCTGCAGACTCTTACTGAGGCTAGGTTGACATCCCTCTTTGGCCTGTTAAGAATTCCAAGCCTCACGAGCAGGCCAAAGCAGGGCTTGCCTATTAACAAATAATTATATAAAAAGTAATGCATTTTTTAAAATACATTTATTATATGTTTAAAATACAGTTTTATGAAAGCATAAAAGTTTCTGAATTAGTTGTCCACTTTCACACACCCAACTGTTACATAGGATTAGGTCCAACCTTACTCCAGAGGCAGTGCTTTTGTCCTCACCATAGCCTACCCTTCCTCATTCAGTTCTACCAAATTAAGTCCTAACATTCATATCCTTCCTCTCAGCTCTCACCACTCCAAATTTGACTTCATCACCCTCCAAACTCATGACTTTTATCACGTCACTTGGAAAACTATATAAAGGTAGTAAAGCACAGTGGCCAAGAGCAGAGTCTGAAGCCAGCTACTTGCATTGGAACTTGACTCCTTCACTTGTTAAGCGCTCTAACTTGACTCAGTTTCCTCAATTATAAAATAGGATACTAGTACCAACTTCCTAAGAGTTGTGAACATTAAATGAATTCATGTACGTGAAGTTCTTAGAACAACCCTGGCACAGAGTAAGCCTGTACTATACTATACTATACTATGCTATACACAGAGTAACCGCTGCTGCTGCTGCTGACAGGTACCTTAGCCACTGTGCATGTGGGTCCAGGGTGGGCACCTCCACATTAGAATGCAGGCCCCAGGCCTGCCCCAGGATCTAATTTCAGTAAACTGCCATTTAATGCAGTGAAAGCACGTAGCACACAAACATGAGATTCACTTGAAACTAAAAAATAATTTAGAAAATGTTAAATTTCTTGTCAATCATTGACTCGAAATTAGAATCCTGACACTTCTGTACCAAGCTGTTGATGTGTTTGTCGTTGTCTTATAGCAGCGTGCATAAAAAAATGTAACGTTGAGGGCGTTCCCTGGTGGCCTAGTGGTTAGGATTCTGGGCTTTCACTGCTGTGGCCCAGGGTTCAATCCCTGGTCGGGGAACTGAGATCCTGCAAAGCCATGTGGCCAAAAAAAAAAAAAAAAAAAAAAAACATGTAATGTTGAGTCTTTTATATGGAAGTGGCATGAAAAGCTTTCACCGGTTTCCTGAGAAAACAGGTATTCATAAACCCACATATTTCTGTAATCTCATTTTTAAGGCAGACTCCAGATGATAGTGAACATTTCTATTGATAGGTGCTCCTTGGCACCATTTTACAACTGTACCAATCCAGCAAAATGAACAGGCAATGCGGATTTTGTAACCACTTACTACTAGCCAGGAAATAGGCATGATGAATACCTCATCCCAGGGTAGGGTAAGAAGGGAGGTAGGGTCGCAGGGAAAATTTGTGGAGCCAGGCACTAGGTTAACTGCTTTACATGCATTGTTTCATTTAATCCTGCATTGCCATGGTATCATCCTCACCTTACAGGCGTCCTTAGGCTTCCGTTTCCTCATACGTAACTTGCCCAATTTGCAATCAACAAGAATGTAAATCTGGACAACTTGACTAGTCTATGTTTCATTCTGCCAAGTTTCAACAAATTCTTTGTACAGAAATGTGCATTTCTACATCAGCTAAGGTGGTTGGGATCTTTATTATGTTCATTATTTCCTTATTAGTTTCCTCAGATACACAGCCAGTGCCACACTTGTCCTCTTCAGCCTCACTGCTTTCCCTCCTAGAGTCTGGAAGTATACCAGGTGCTGAGAAGGATTAAATCATTTTTCCATAACAAGCAGGATTAATTTGTTCTGGATAACACTACGATAGCCAGGGAACCAAGTCACGTCTTCTTCCAGCTTAGTAACCAGTAATCACCAGAGTCTGCACCCCGTTTTCAAAGGCTTTATTGGTAGATATACTTTAGGAAAGAAACATCCATCCTACTGCTTCCAAGTTAGTGGAATGAAGGGCTGTGCCCAGGGACACATCAGGTGGTGCCAGAGGGGACTATGCTCCGTCCACCTCTTATTCATAAATCCAGTCAAAAGCACAAGACTTGTACTCAACCAGTTCTTCAGGCTTAAACCACAGGCTGATTTCCTTCTCAGCACTTTTTACTGAATCACTGCCATGAATGATGTTCCTAAGAAGGAGAACAATTTCTAGTTACATTTTAAAGTACAAAAGTCTGTTCAATGGATAAAGCAAAGGACAGTCACTGAAGACCTTTTCAGCCAGTTGCTCCTTGAAGCAGCTGACCACCCCCAAGTAGCTCCTCTTAAAAGCAACTATAAAACTATAAATAAAGTACTTAAGCCAAAAGCATCACTTGGTTCAACTTTATTATGCTTCTAAATTTTCAAAACAGCGCTTGTACCCAAGATTGCCACAAAACATTACTTCTCAAATTTTGAAAAATACAGGAATACCCAGACCAAAACCCAAACTAGATGTGACGTATTCATTATCAACAGCCATTGCTGCTGTATTTTCTTACAACGCTAATGTGCAAAGTCCAATCAAAACATTCACGATTATTGACAATCCCTTTATTCCATTTGAGTCTCCTAACTATACAAATTTTTGTAGAGATTCTGTATGAGTTAGGGAACCAAAAAGGCTAAAAGTGACACACCCTTGGACACAGCACCACAAAGGGCAGAGCCAAGGCTAGACCCCTTCCTTGCCCCACCCTCCGCACTTCCTGCCGTCACGAAGGACCCACTGCAGGCAGCTCCCTTGTGCAATGCCTTGGCTAAAATTTTAAGTAGCCTAGAGAAGTAACTATTCAAGAAAGCGTTCATCCAATGATAATTACCACCTAATTTAAACGTTCAGAATTTTCTAAAATTGGAATATGCCAAAAATATTTGTTTTAAACCCAAGTTAGGTGGCTTTGAGGAAAAGTCAGTGTTCCTTGGAACTTACCTGCCAACTTGAATGCAGAAGTCGCCACGAATGGTGCCCGGCTTAGAATCCGCTGGGTTGGTCTCCCCAAGCATCACTCTCCCTGTCTTCACTACATTCAGGCCCTCCCAGACCTTGACATTAGGGAAGAGGAATTTCATCAGTTCTGCCATTCAGGACCATTAAAAACAAACATTTACCTCTACCTAACAGCACGTATCAGTAAGACCAATCAGTGACATGATTATCAGCCAACCCCAGTAGTAGTAGGGGCCGATATAAAATACTCCATACTCCATCCCAAGTGTATTGCTAGGATAGAGAGAAAAAGTCTGCCCAACTTGGGGACTTCCCACTCTGGCTGAGACAGAGATTAAAAAGACTGAAGAATCTTTATGCAGCCACAAACTCAAAAAATAGTGGGGAAAGGGTAAAGAAAAGTGAGCAGACTGGAACAGGATCAGTGGGAAGGGCATCGCAGAAGACTGTTAGAGCAAGACATGGCAAAGACTGACATGAAAGGGGAAAATGTATTCCAGGGAAAAGCAGAAAGAAGAAAAGGTCACCCTCAGGGAACAGGAAGTAGGGCTTCTTTCCCAACAATTTTATTAACTCCCTATTATACCCTCTACCTCTATTCACTTCATTTCCAATTGGACATTAATGCCACAGGAAGAAATAGACCAGTTCATTTCTAGCACAGGATCACAGAGAACTCTTTTTAAGTTCTGATTCTCACTTCCTTTTTCCTCCCAAGTTCCCAGTTGGTCTGTAAACTAACTCACTCCAGCAGGCTGCCTTTGTAAAACAAGGAATTTGGAGCATCTGCAGAAGATGTCTAAAAAGGAACATGAAGACACTGAGCAAACCCAGTTACCTATCAGCCGTTACTTCCTTGGTTCCCTCTCCTCCAGCACAAGCACTTACCATGGCCACAACCGGCCCAGAGTTCATGTACTTCACCAGCCCTGGGAAGAATGGGCGGTCTTTCAGGTCAATGTAGTGCTGCTTCAGGAGTTCCTCAGAGGCCTGGCATTGAAGAGGAGGTACCAATTAGGAAGTAAAGTAGAAAGGCTCCCATCCTCAGAACCTGCCCACCTCCCCCCACCAGTAACACGGTAGGTTCTCTAAAAGTCTGGGTGTGTATTTTAGCTCACATTCATAAGGTGTGTATTTAAAAAAAAAAAAACCCATCCAAACCATGAAACTGATGCTATCTTAGCGGAAAGATTGTTCTGATCATGAAGACACCCTCATGTCAATGACCTGACGGATGTTATAATCCTTAGAAAGAGGTGGTTAGGGAGTTAAGTGTTGGCTGCAATCAAAGGAAATATGCCAGACAGAGGTCATATCAAACCCTCTGGCCCATTCCTAATGCCCTTTTAAACATTTCAGACGTTAACTGAGAAAGCTTGGTTTAAATTTCAGTTCTTAGGTACTTATCCCCTAAGGTCCAGATCTGTACCCCAAATTGGAAGATAAAGTTACTGCCCTATGCCAAAGGGAGCCTGCAGAGAAAGGGCAGAGTAAGGCACACCCCACCTAAGACCTCAATCATCTCAGAGTTGCAAGCTGAAGCACAAAAGGATTCCAGCCTCCATCCCGTGCCTGGGTGGACCTGCGTGGGCCCGGGGCGCAGACCTCATCCACTCCCTGCTGCCCCCCTGCGGCCCACTGCCCGTCGCAGCCGCGGGAAGGAAGCAGCCCCGGAGCCTGAGTCACGTCACCTCCGCTTAACCTTCCAAGGGCGTCTGTCCCCCCGGACCTCGGGGAAGGGTCTAGCGGGCCCGTGGAGCCCTGGGTGGGGGGTGGGGGGGGTTGGAGGCCCAAAGCAAAGGGGTATTCGCGGGTCCGAAATCAGCCAAGGGGGACTCCGACTAGGAAAAGACACTCGGATCGACGCTGCGGGTAAGGAAAACCACCCGCGACCTCGCCGCCGCGGGAGGAGGGGAGCGGGGCACGTCACCTGAAGGAACTTCATGGCCACAAGGCGGAATCCCTTCTGCTCGAAGCGCTTGATGATCTCGCCCACCAGGCCGCGCTGCACGCCGTCGGGCTTGATGGCGATGAAGGTGCGCTCCGCGTGGGCCATGGTCCTGCGGGCGGCAGGTGCGGTCAGGGCGTCGCGGCCGCGTTCACACAGGCCTCGAGGGGGCCCGGACCCCGGGCCGGAGGCCACGTGGCTCCCGCGCCCGCCAGCCGCTACCGCGGGGACACGTGGCCTGCGGGACGCCTCAGCCCTACCAGCGCCGCGCCGCAGCCCCTCAGCCGTCCCCGGGTGCCCGCGGAGGACACTCGGCAGGGGTCCCGGGGGAGCGCCCGGCCTGCGGGACCGAGGGGGCCCGAGGGCGGGGAGGGATAGGAGCCGCCGTCTTACCGGTAAGAGGGCGGGCGCGGGCGGCGACACGGGCCTGAGCCGAGAGCTTAGCGACCGGCACCGCCGCAGGGAGCCCGCGGAGGAGGGGCCGGCGGCGGCCACACCCCGGACGGCCCTCCACCCAACCCGCGAGGCCGGACGCTTCCGGACGACTCTGTCCACGCCCCGGGTTTGTAGAATAAGCCAGCGAGGGCTCCAGGGGCAGGAAGTGATTTCTACCCCACCTGGTTGTGCCCGAAGTAGAACTGCGCGCGTCCAATCCAGCTCCTGTCTTCAGTACCTCCTCACACGCGCGCACGCAAACCTCTACTGGTCTTGAGTCAGTACTTACCGGCCAGTACCATCTGCTTTTCCCCATTCACCGAGCACCCAGAGCTGCTTTCTCTCCTCCCCGTCTAGCACAAGTCCTTATCCTACCTGTGAAATCCAGTTTCCCCTTCCCTCCCCTCTGCTTGAGCCCTGCTTCAAGCCCTCCACCTCCCTCATCCGAACTGGCGGCCTCCCAATGCGCGTCCACCTCACTTCTCCCCGCAAGGAGCCTCCCTCAGCACCCTCCCCAAACACCATCTGACCCTCGGCCCCGCTTTGATGACTCCCCCTGCCTGGAGGATGGCATCCAAGGCTAATTTAGCAAAATACCCCATACCCTGCTCCCTCCTGCCTGTCTCCCCACCCACCTTCCCAGCCCAGTTAAGCTGCCCTGTTCCCACCCTGAGTTGATGATCTCTGCCCCCAGCATCATTGTGTGGCCAGGTTATCCAGTTCAGCCTGAGACACACCCTTGACAAGATTCTAGATTCTCTCATAGAAATCAGGCCTGTCATACATTTGCAGACAATCCCTATCTCTTCTCTGCCTGACAAACCACTAGCCACCCTTTGGTGGTGTCCAGCTTCCCTGGAGGAGCCAGCAAGCCCCTCCTCTCAGTAAGTGTACACTCACCCCCACCCCCACCCCTCCAGCAGTGCTTACAGCCTGAGGTGGGCAGAGCCCCTGAGTCTCTCTCCTCAGGGCGGTGAGCTGACTACAGGAATCATGTGTCATCACCCTAGTGGTCCTGGCACTGCACTGATAACCTGTGTTAGATGCTGTGACAGTCCAGGCCTCTATTATACCTTGCTGGCTTTCCAAACTTCTAGTTGCAGAGCATTAAACCACAGTACACGAGCAGTCTTCATTCTGGAGCAAGGACACCCAGTGTTCCCTTGGGCCTCAATCGGCAGTACACTTTTATTTGGGCTTCCTTTTCAGGGTTAGCAAATGTCAATTGTGGGAAAGAGTGGGAATTTCACTGGATATTTCTCCGCGGAGCCGTTTGCCCCTTGGTCTGGTCACTACCTTGCGGTACAGCCAACAGCAGCCCTCTGCCTTTCACCTCTCCTTTCCTTCCTGGGAAGACTGTCCTTAACTGCGGAAGGTATAAATGAAGAGGCAAGGGGGCAGGGCACAATCCTTAAAGAATGACACAGCCCTTGAGAAAAACTGGATACAACAAGAACTGGTTAGAACCGACTAGGCCCAAGATGGTGGAAGATTCAACTTCCAGTAGAACCTGCGCCTCATTATACGCTCACTGTAATACATTAGCCTGCTAAATGACACAACCACCGGCACCATGACAGTTCCAAGGCCAACCATAAAGGCCAAAAAGTGGGCAGTGGCCCAAATCCTGGAAATCCCTGAGCCTTCTCCGAGGTAGTTAGAATATTCCTCCCACTCCTTAGCCTATGGAATTACCCAGCCCATGAAAACCAACCACCCCCGCACCTCGGGCCTGCTCTGCCTTCTGACACAGACTGCATTCTGTCTATGGAATTGTAACTGAGCAGGACCCTGTGGGGCCTTCTGGGGCAGACCCTTCCCCCATATCCTCTGCTCTAGCTCCTCTCTGAAGTACCCAGATAACAGTACCTGATGCACATTTACTGAGTTGTTTTACAGATGTGAAAACCCCCCACCAAATGGAAGATATTAACTATTTGATGACCATGAACACATAGCCCCCAGGCCTCCTGGAGCCTTAAGGACTGATTATGTTAACCCCTGGGGCACCACCCTGTTACTTCACCATCAACCAATTAGAGAACTGTGCACAAGCTGATCACATACCCTGTGACACACACACCCTCTCCCCCACCCCACCCTCCAGCCCCCCACACCTCTACCCCCCCCCCCCACCCCCCCCCACCCCCGCCAACCTGGCCTTTAAAAATGCTTTGCTGAAACCCTTTGGGGAGTTGGGGGTTTCAGGGGCATGGGCCACCCGTCTCCTTGCATGGCCCTGCAATAAGCCTTGCTCTGCTCCAAACTCCAAACGCCTCACTGTGCATCAGGCACACGAACACAAGTTCAGTAACAGAATGTGCATCTCTCTCAGTCAACCTCTTTGACTTCACCACGGCTTGCTCTTGAATTCTTTCCTGCGCGAAGCCAAGTACCCTCACTTAGCAGCCTGTCCCAGGAGCTCGCGCAAGACCTGGGACATGACCATTCTCTCGCACCCCATTTTCCTGCAACATCTTTACAAAGGAAGAGGAAGAAGGTGGTCTTCTCCCCTCCCCACTTTTGCTTTGATTATAAAAACGTAGCCCACTTAGTTCTCAGGGAAAAGCCCTCTTGCCTGCCCACTTGTATCCTTCACAAGTGTCCTATATTAATAAATCCACTTCTTACCTATCACTTTGTCTCTTGCTGAATTCCTTCTGTGCCAAGACATAAAGAACCTGAGCTCCATTAAGTCCTGAGATGAGCTGTGCAGTTTCATGACCCTCCTGCCTCGCTACACACATATTCATTCCCCCAAAGTCCTGGTACTCTATTTCACTCCCCATTCTTTGTATGAAACAGAAACACATCTATTCCTCAGCTGCCCAAACCAAAGGTGGCCCCCCATGGGAGAAATCCTTTCACAATGTAACTTACAGCAAATCATCATGTTGTACATTTTAAATATCTTACAATTTTATTTGTCAGTTGTATCTCAATAAAACTGGGGGAAAAAAAATCTAAGCAGGTACGGTACATAGAAGTGGTGATGGTGGTAAGGCTCTGATCCTTGAGGTAGTCCAGAGATTCAGTTCCCTCCAACCAATCCAAGACGGTTACCACCCCTATATCCGCCTTCCAGCAAGTGGGAAGGGAAGTATGATTATCCCTTCCTTTTCAGGGTACAACCTTGAATTTACCACCTTCACTTTTTCGTGTCTCTTTGGCCAGAACTTCGTCCTGTGGCTGTATCTAGCTGCAAGCTAATACAATCACGCTAATTAACATAACAACGGCTTCCTACGGTTACCATTTCCTTTCCTTCTTTCTATCTACCTTTCTTTCTCTCTCTTCCTTCCTTCCTTCCTTCCCTCCCTTCCCCTCCCTCCCTCCCTCCCTCCCTCTCTCTCCCTCTCTCTCTCTCTCTCTCTCTCCTGTGATGAGCACAGATCTACCCTCTTAGCAAAGTTCAAATATATAGTACAATATTGTTAACTTTAGTGACAGTGATCTACATCAGATCTCCAGTTTGAACTTTTAAGTAAATGATAAGTAAATTTCCATCTTGTCTCTATTAAAGCAACCAAATCAATATCCTAACTAATCAAAACTACTCACAAGATATCTTCTGCTTCTTTTGAGGTCATCCCAGAAATCCAGGCCCACTATCCACATAGCTTCTTGGCTTTGGAGTAGTTACAACTTCTCACACTCCCCCAGCCACTGAATCCCTGAGAGCTTCTCAAGGGCAGGAAGGGTATCTTTTATTTCCAGGGAATCTTCAATGCACAGGACAGTCTTGGCAACGTAGCAGATCCCGGACAGAGAGCTGTTGCCTGGCTCAGCGCCAAGAGTGGATGGAATGCAGGGGGAAGAGAGGGACAGGCAAAGAATGTGTGTGTATGTGTGATCTCTCAGGCCAACATAACTTATATAGTCTTTACACTCTCTATTAGCTTAGGTTAGCCAGAATACGTGAAAAAGGAAAAAGAATACAAAGCAATACGACAATACGAAGTACCTTACTCAATGACTCCTTCCTTGAGATGAGACATTTTAATCTGATGATAGCACATAACACTGTTCAGGGAGCATCCACAGCTCCAAGAGTTTCCCTCCAGATGAAAAGCAAGTTCTCAGAGATAACTAGATTTGCTATGACCTGGCCCCTGCCCATGAGAGGGAGGGGAAGTGGGGTGGGACAAGCACTGTGGTCTGCTTCCATGTCACTCGTAGATCCAGTTCTGAGCACAGCTCTTGTAATTCACCAGTTCCTCAGGGTGAAACCACAAGCCAATCTCCTTCTCTGCACTCTCCACAGAGTCACTGCCATGGATAATGTTCCTGGATGGGAAAAGAGATGGCCACATTACCAAGGTCAGAAGGATTAAACTGCCCAGAAGCTCCCCTCATGTCCATTGCCAGAAAGCCTACAGCCGCCGGAGCAGAAAAAACCAAAGCTCCATGTACATTATTCCATGTCAAAAGAAAAAACCCATGACTGCCACTAATGTAAGGATAAAGAATGCCCTCTCCACGTCCAGCCCTCCTAGCAACACTGATGCGAGCAGCGGGAGCCTCAGGAAGGACTCTGGCCAGCAAAGCGCACTGTACCAGGTTCTACTCTCACAACAGAGGCACAACCATAGTGATGTTGATGACCAAAGGCAGGGGGCCTGCAAAGCCAAACACCAGTAAGAAGAAGGAAAACAATAAACTCTGATTACAAATTGCTCTGTATATGGTATCATGTCTACCCTCAGCTTCAGAAACCCAAATTCTCGTGGCACTTGGATTTTAGAAAAGAGTAAAATGCACCGACTCTCACCTGCCAACTTGGATGCAGAAGTCCCCACGGATGGTCCCAGGCTTGGAGTCCACAGGGTTGGTCTCCCCAAGCATCACTCGACCTGTCTTCACAACATTCAGCCCCTCCCAGACCTCCAAGGACAAAAGAAGATATGGTCAAGGAAGGAAGCCAATCTCAGCAGAAAATCTGAAAACTATTAATTCCAAAAAAAAAAAGAAAAAGAAAAAGCACCCCCTTAAAATGACATTCATTCATCGAACAAACACTTATGGGGCATCCAAGTGTTCCAGCACTGGGAATACTGGTCTCCCTGCCCTCCTCTTGCCTTTCTACAATCCATTCTTGACACAGAGTGGCCCTTCTAAAACACCAAGTGTAGAAACCGCCCATAGCTTCCCAGCACTCAGGAAGTACAGGGCTGAGACAGCCCTACATAATCTGGCCTCTGCCTGTGCCTATGAATTAATCTCATCCAACCTTCCCTTTCACCCACCAGGCTTCAGTTACGCCAAGCGTCTTTCTGTACCTCAAAAAGTCCCCCACCCCAGGTCCTTTGCACATGCTATTTTCATGGTTGAGAATGCTCTTCACTGTGAATTTGTACACAGCCGGCTCCTTCTCATCCAGATCTCAGCTTGAAAATCACGTTCCTTGACCACCCAGTCTAAAGCGCTCACTTGCTATCACATAATCCTATTTCATTTCTGTGCATATCACTAATCATTAGCTGATATATATATGTTTTTTGGTTTCTTTATTATCTGCCCATCCTCCCTTTTCAGGATACGTAGGCAAGGAAAGCTATGAAAACAGTTACCTATTTTGTCTCATTCATGATTGTATCCCCAGTGTCTAAAAGAGCCTGGCACAAAGATGACAAGCAATACATACTAAGAGAAGAATCACTGCAATAAACAAGACACAGTCTCCCTCACCTCCATGAGCTTACAATCAGGCATATCTCTCCTGATTTCTCCCAGATGGGAGTCTTCAGTTCAGCAAGCAAAGGTATTTTGTCTTTGGTGAGCCAGAGAGCTGACTCATACCCTAAATGTCCAATGCCCTAGCCTCAGAATCCTCTGCAACAATGAGGACCTGGCCTTAGAAGCAAGAATCACAATATTCACTCTTCACTCCCAGCTGAGTCATTCACATCAACATCCCACACATGTTACACTCACCATGGCAACCACTGGCCCTGAGTGCATGTATTTCACCAGGCCAGCAAAGAATGGACGGTCCTTCAGGTCAATATAGTGCTCCTTGAGAAGGTCTTCAGAAGCCTATCCCACAGGATAGAGAAGAGAATTGATCCCAAAACTATCTAAGAACCAGCAATTTAGTTATTTCCCACTTACCCATCCTGCTGTTTAAAACGTGAGCTCTCAGCTCACTTGTTCTATTATAACCCAATTCACTCTTGACTTTACCAAAGGGAAGAAGTGACAGGGACTAAAAGTGCTTCAGCTTTGTACCAGTTTTCCCCCTTGATTGATCAGCATAAAATTACAGAACATTAGAATTGAATCCAGCCGTGGTATTTTACACAGGAAAACCAACAATACAATAAATTTCCACGTTCAAGCAAGCCTCAGCTAAAATGTTACAGGGAGGTGGTCTCAGCGTTGGATGAGAAGCAAACTGAACCAGGCCATTTCTCTTCATATTTATTCAGAGAATAAAGGCCTTAATTAATTTAATCTAATTTTTTTTTTTTTTTTTTT